TATTTATTTGTTCATATCATTATCAAATGTTTATTAAGTACCTTATATATGGCAGCATTTAGGCTTATGAATATGAATCACCCAGTCTTTGTCTAATCAGCAGCATTTTGCAAAAACTTTTTCTTTTCTTTCTTCTTAAAATACTTTCTTCATTTAGTATTCACACTTTCTAGGTTTTTATTTTCTTTATCTTTGGCATTTTTTGGTTTCTTTTGCTTGATTCTTTTCGTGTGGACCTCCTAAATGATGGACTCCCAGAGCATAATCAATCATGCTTTTCTTCTGAGCTCTATTTCATTCCCTAAGTCATCTCACTTAAATGTTGTGGCTTTAAATAGCATTGATACATTGACATCTCTGAAGAGTATATTTTGTTCAGCCCTGGTATTTTCCTTTAATTTTAGCCCAAGATAGCCAACTGCCATATCTCCAATGGGCTATCAGTAGGTGTGTCACAAGACCAAACATATTGTAACTGTTTGGCCCCCTTGACTTTGCATTTAGTGGTCCATCTGCTCATTTTTCAGATTATGACATGGCTAGCTTCCTTGTGTCATTGAAGCCTGTTTCTCCTTTACTTTTCTTCATAATAACATTATTCTTTACCACTATCTTATCAATACTTTACATTATACTTGACGTATATAATATATATATTACTAACTTTCCAATTGCTGAGAGCTGTTAATCTCCTTTTTTTTATTTTTACTTTTTAAACATAACTTCTTGCCATAAGATGAGAAATTAATCTCCTATTTTTTTAAATCAATTTCTTCTCATATTTACTGTGGTTTTTGTTTTATCTTTGTTTTATTTGATTCATTACAATTTACAAATTATGTCACCATCATGGCTTGAACTCTGTTATTATACAGTTGATGTTTTCACCTAGTTAATACTTTTTCTTTTTATTCCCTGTAGTTTTACAAAATTTGCATCTGCTTTTATATCTTTTATCTCTCATGAGTCACCTTGTAATTGTATGTGGCCTTTATGTAGATAGTAATTTGTCTACTTATTCACCCAAACCCAAAGAATATATTACTGTGTTATATTAGGGCTTTATTGACATTTGGTATTAATACTATTTTATTTAAAATTTTCTGTTTTTGATGTTTTGTGCCTTTATTTAACCTTTTCTTTTCTGCTTATTGCTATATGGTTTTTCTTGTTGAGTATCTTTTTTAGAGACAGGGTCCCTCCCTGTTGCCTTCTTGATATTCTGTCTCAAATAATTTAGAAGGTATGTGATATGTTTTTATTTCTATCTTTGCTTAATTTTAAACTTTAATTTTTTTTTCTTTTTGTCAACTTCAGAAAAACTATTCTTTCCTAGGAACTGTGAAAGTTGAAAGAACTACATCACTTTCATGACATCTAATATTCCCCTCCCCAAATTTATTATACTTCATGATTTTTGTGGTTCCAGTTTATCATAGTTATAATGTATTAGGTTTTCCTTCATGCTGTATAATATGCATCTCAGTGTAATTTTAAAAAATTCTAGTTCTTTAGCTTTTAATTGTACTATAGTCTTTTTCAAACTCAGTTCATATCTTCAGTCTTTTGTAGCTTTTGTTTTTAAGGCTGAGTCTCCCTCTTGTCGCCCGTGCTGGAGTGCAGTGGCACGATCTCAGCTCACTGCCACCTCTGCCTCCTGGGTTCAAGCAGTTCTCCTACCTCAGCCTCCCAAGTAGCTGGGATTACAATAGCTTGCCACCACACCTGGCTAATGTTTTTGTATTTTTAGTAGAGACAGGGTTTCATCATGTTGGCCAGGCTGGTCTTGAACTCCTGACCTTAGGTGATCTGCTCGCCTTGGCCTCCCAAAGTGCTGGGATTATAGACGTGAGCTATTGCACCTGGCCTATCTTCTGTGTTTTCTAATTTGCTTTTGGGAAAAAGCTTTTTTTCTGATATGAAAGGAATTTGTGTTAATTTTAGAAAATCTGAAAAAACACAAAAAAAGCACAAAGAAAAAATCACTTGTAATCGCCCTTTGAGAAATATATTAATAACTTAGTATATGTTCTTTGTCTTTTCTCCCTGTGTATGATGTCATTACTTAGCAACACTTGATTCTGTATATACACAATTAACTACTTTTCCCTTTCACTTACTCTGTATTGAACATTTTCCTATGACATTAAAGTCAAGCTGTAGAACACATAATAATTATATGGTATTCTGTATAGACATGTTATAATTTAATTAATCCTCCATTGTGAGACAGTTTGTTTACAGCTTCCTCTTCTAAAGTGTGCTTTGATGAATGAGGATGATTTATATTCCCTAGATTTCTTTCTTTTTTCTTTTTTGGATAAAGTTCTTAGAAGTGGAAGAATTCTGAGGCTTTAGCATCTGGTGGTGATTAAGTGCATGGACTTTGTAGTCTGACTGCCTTGGGTTCAAATCCTTACCTAGGTGTATACATTTAGGCAATTAATTTTTCCTTCTGCTTTAGTTTCTTTCTTTAAACTTTCTTTCTTTCTTTTTTTTTTTTTTT